GTATCGCTCGCTGATGAAACCGGCTTCACCTGAAAGTGTGCGTGTGCGCGTGTGTGTGCGAGCGCGAGGGCCGAATAAGCACAAAGAAGGGAATTAAAGAAAGAAAGAACACAAATGAATGATGTGAGGGGAGGGTGTGCGGGTTGTTTTTGTTGGTGAGAATCGGACGGTTCCAAAGGAAGGGAGGGGCGTAAAACTTCAGAGAGAACTATCGAACAAGGTGGGTGGACGGCGATCTGCTTCGCTCTTCCTCCGTCTACGTCTGCTTCGCCCGAGTCAAACGAGTCGTATGATAGACGATATTGACAAGCTTAAATGCCCTTATTGGATGAGATGTGGCCCCTGGGTGCTGCCCCAGCGTTTTGTAAGAACACGCCGCCAGACAAAAAAACCACACACTCACATACAGCATTACCCCATTCTGCTACCACAGCACTCTCAACAATTACCTTCCAGCTCTTTAACACACACACACACACACACACACACACACACACACACACACACACACACACAAAGGCTATCTTTATGACTGCAGCATTTCCACCATTCCAGCCCACTTTTCTTATTTTTTTTCCCCCTGCTTTCCTTACCTCCTTCACCCAGAGACCATTAAACCAGATCCCTTCTAAAAGGCTGTAAGGCCTCTCTTGGCGAGCCACTTCTTCTCCAAAGCCCTGCCATGTCTCTTTTTGTGTTTTTAAATCAAAGTCCATGAAAGGTTGAGGGAGAGGAGGGAGGGGGAGCAAAGAGAAATTTGGGACGGGTTTTTTGGTGTTTGTGGTTTGGAGACAAATCTTAGTTACAAACTCATATGGCCTCACTGACGCACACACACACACACACACACACACACACACACACACACACACACACACACACACACACACACACACACACACACACAAACTTAATCTGATACGGTACATGCCCTCCTGGCCTGTTCTGCTCTGGTGGAATTTTATTTTTTCTCTCCTCTGCCTCCCCTCTCACCTGCTGAGAGTTACTGTAGATGTGTAACCTGCTCCTCTGCTTTTGCACACAAGTGAATACACACACACACACACACACACACACACACACACACAACTGCACCTACACACTCTTGCAGCACAAACACCAGTATGAAAGACAGTCTGGGGGTGGCCTCTGCTGTGATTCGTTTGCTTCTTTCACAGACGGTTCTGATTTAAGGGTCACGGCGGTGCGTAGCTTTTTGATTGTGCTGGTAGTCAACCCGAAAATGCTTTCCTTGATGGTTTTTTGGCAGAGGCCGTGATGGGGGGGGGGGGCTCTGGCCAGCACACTTCACCTGCCAGCTGCTCAGCTCAGACTGGTCCTTCTGGAGGCTAATTTATTTATTTTTTTCTTCCAAGTTTCATACTCAAAAATACAACTCCGCTGTACTCTTCCTCCCGTCTCCACCCGGCCCAGCAGATCAGGTTCCATATGCATCAGTGTCTCAGAGCGAGAGCGCTGACTCACCTTCAGTTAATCTTTCCTGACTGCAGGGAGTTGTGCGGTGGGTCCAAACCTGAGGCGTAGAATTCTAAGGTGCATCCCGTTATTGATTGCTCTGAAAAAAGTGTTCTGTACAAAGCTTGCAAGTACAGTGAGGCTACAACTGGCGCACACACTGCTGTGTCCAGGACGAACAGTTCTGTTTTGGGTGAGAAGTTTTATTACTTTGTGTAAAAGGCTTAAAGAACAGTTGGAAGGAGGAAGGATGCTGCTCAACTATGCACAGCTCCCTCGCAACCTGCTTTTCCCCCCGACATCTCCACCGCTGCTAAAAACAATAACTTCTACTGTGCAGAATGCCTTTGTGTACAGCCGTACCGGCAGCTCTGTGAGCGCACAGCTAAATGCTAACATGCTCACAGGGACAATGCCAGCATGCTAATGTGTAGCTGATATGTTTATATGTGCTCACCAGTTTATTTGCGCATTAGTGCCTTAAACTTGCATTCTCTCTAATGGCCATCAGGGGGCGACTCCTCTGTTTACAAAAAGAAGTCTGATTGTATAGAAGTCTATGAGAAAATGACTCTACTTCTCACTTGATTTATTCCCTCAGTAAACATTGTAAACATGAGTTTATGGTCTCAATCTCTAGTTTCAACTCTTCTTAATACAGCATGATGTTCATTTATTAAATGATGTCCCATTTAGAGCAGACGATAAAGCAGGGTATGCTTTAGGGCGGGGCTACCTTGTGATTGACAGGTTACTACCAGGGCGTTGTCTGATCGTTTTAACCCTGTGACAGTGTTTTATCAGTTCATGAAAGCTAATGGTGACATTTTGGGAGCATTATTCAGCGTTCGGTTATACTCAGCTGTGCCACTTCTGGTTCCAATAAACAAATATGGCGACGGCCAAAATGCCAAGCTCAAGGCTTCCAAACCCTAGACCACGAACCAACGGGTGACGTCGAGGTGGCTACGTCCACTTCTTATATACAGTCTATGGTCTTTACCAAAGTGTAAGGCCGACCAACCAACATTGCCATCCATAAAGCTGGGCTTTGCTACAAAGTTAAAAGCATCAATGCCCTCCTTTTGTCTGTCAATTGAAGTTGTGTTTTTCAGATAGAGACAGAAGACTAATACTTACCTAGAAACCTTTTAGACAGAATTACATACAGTAGATGGTACAACTATTCATTTACAGACCTCGTTCTCTAACAGCTTGTTCTTCGCTAAATTACACCCCAAAACGTATTCCCACTGCCTCACCTGTGACTGCAGGGGCCTCCGCAGTCACACTCCTTTATCAACCATTTTGTGCTTTAAAAGCACTTTGTCTTCTTTCTGATAAGGTGAGAAACATTCCTTTGAGCTCCACCAGAGTTTATAGGAGGTGTTTTACCCAGATAAGCCATGCTGCATGTGACTTGGTAAAAGACGAATGGACACCTTGTTCATTCCTTCTTGTGACTTCCCTTTCCCCTGGCTGTCTCTCTGGGTTTTCCATCTTCCTCTGCCTTGACTCAGTAACCTTTAAGGTAGACCTGGACGGGGGGAGGAAGCCAGAAGCCAGTGAGGGAGAAAGAGAGGGAGAGAGTGAGGTGTATGAACAAGTATCGTAATCAGTAATGGAGCCAGGCTTACAAATAGTAGTGTAATCAGTGTTACCAGGTAGGGCGTCAAATGGATCTATGAGCACACCAGTGCTCAGGCTGAACAGAAGTGAGGCCGGGAGAATGGCTTTGTGCTCCCGGCTGTCTGGTCACAGTGTGACGTCCACTAGCAGTGCGCATCTAAACCCTGCGAAACATTTCAACCCAAATGTGTCGCTCTAAAAGGGCTAAGCTAAAGCATAGCGCGACGACACAGAGGTGCACTCATCACCCGGAAACCAAAAAGTACACGGACTAGCACATCGGTCGTAAAGGAATGCTCGTCAGTGTAATTAATCATCTTTTGAAAGGGCAGTACAGTTGCTCAGGAGGTTTGTAAACCGTCCTGCATTATGACTAATAGTTCAGTCAGACTGTAAAGAATCCCTCCTTTTGCATCGGAAACAGAAGAAGCAATAAGGAAGCTGCAAAGCTTTCCGCTGCTGTTCCTTTCACTCGATTCTTATTGATCTGAAGAGTTGTTGATGACATCTATAGAAGTTGATGGCAAGTTCACCAACACATACGTAATAGCAAATTCAAGAGTTTCCTTCAGCTCTATGGAAGTGGTTTTTGTTTTTCCTTCGCCTTTTGTCACACTGTTAGTTCCAGGTCCTTTTCCATATGCCGTGTTTCTACTGCAGATGTAGGCGGGATTCTCAGCCGATCGGCTACCAGGTACTATCTACAGCTTCTGTTAATGGAAACAAGAAAACAACCGCTCTGTTTAATGAACTGAACAGAACTGGACTACTTGGTGGCAACGCGGCTTAAGTGTGTCTGAGAAAACAACAGATTATACCTAAATAGTGTCTGATTAATTTGAATTACCTTAATGGTGCATTGTAACTTACAGTATGCCTCCTTCTCAAGTCCCAGTCTTCTTGAGCCGTCTAGTATTTAAATGTTCATAATGTCTCTCTGCTCAGTTGTTCGTATTAAACATCAAATTTCAGGCATTCTTTTCATTTACTTTTCAAAACATGTCAGAGTTAGATTTCAGTGCACTCTGACAGCCTTTTTCAAATACTTTTAATTTCATTCGGAAAACTTTGTGTTTTGTACGCACCCATCACTAGTTGATGTGTGTTTTGCATGTATTCAAATGTATTTTATGTGAATTTCAGAAAGAAACATTGAAGACTTTGACAGGGATGTCTTGAAAAAGTGATTGTTTTGTCCTCTAACATTTGTTGATGTTTGTTTTTCTTCATTTTCCCGATTAATCACAGCTTACAGTCAATTCTCTCTCTTCTGTCTCTCTGCTTCGCATCTTGTTTTGTCAGTGATTGACGAAAAGTTTGAGGAAGTACAGAGGAAGCCTTCAGCGAGGACAAACAATCTCCCACATATTGTTGCAGTGTTGAGTGTAATGGGGGGGGGGGTATTGATACCCATATTGATGTGTACAGTGGGAGCTGGTGGAAATGTTCTGCTTCCCTATCGATCTCTGGTCTATTATGAGCTGTTAATGGACGGCTGGGTGAAGGCTGGCCAGCGGTCCATCCATCACAGGCCGACGCCCACACTGCTCTTTTAGCTGTTTTCTCTGGTATCCTCCTCCCGCTCCTCTCCTCCTTCAGTGATCCTCCTCTTCTCTGCTGTTCGTCAAATGCAAAACACACACACACAGACACACACACACACACACACACACACACACACACACAAAACTTAAACCTTGATTCCCATATGTAAACCCTGGAAATGTAAATGAATGAAACATTCTTAACCTGTGTTTAGTGAATGAATTAAATCAAAGAAAAACACAATCCTCTTGAGGAATACCAGTCACAACTATTTTACCTGTGACGATAAAGAGGTTTCTCACCTGGGCGGCGCCTTTAAACCGTCCTCCCTCTGCTTTTCTATCCTCCAGGTCACCGATCGGTCCGTGCGAGCCGTCGCAGAGCATTGCCCTGAGCTGCAGTTCGTTGGCTTCATGGGATGCCCGGTGACCTCCCAGGGAGTCATCCATCTTACCGCGGTAAGTATCGCACGCTCCTGTTGTTCCCTGGGACCCTCGTCCACGACCCATTACGAGAACTCAAATCGTGTGTCTGCTTCCGGTAAAAGTCAAGATAGCGCGGTTCCTCCAGCACAGACCACAGAAGTGCACTCTATCAGCTCTTTGAAGTCATCACTTGTCTCAGTAAATGTCAGCTGAAGTTCCGTAGCGTGACGACGACTTTAGTCTGATGCCGTTACCGTGGGCCAGCGTTCCAGGTCGCCGGCGGCCCTGCAGTGTCTCCAGGGGGGGGGGATTAACTTTTGGAAAGTAAACTCAGGACCTCGCTGTGTGTTTTATCTCAGACTCAGTTTTGAAGTTATTTGGTGTTAACTTTAAAATCTCATGAAAGCCTAATGAGATGAATCCTAATAATACGCTGCTGCTGCGACTACACCCCGCTGTTTGGATATTACCATGCTAATGAGCAGGGCTCGGCAGTTTTAAGTCGTTCCGTGCCACATAAACATGGACACACATGCACTCACCCGGTGATTGCTGGGATTGAATTCACCAGTAAGCACCGCACTTCTCTTCTCGTTTCCCAAACTAACATCCGTGTGGGATGTGTGTGTGTGTGTGTGTGTGTGTGTGTGTGTCCACCTGTGTGTGACTGTGCGTGGTATGTCCGCACCCGTGTGTGCTTGTGTAATACAATTCGATTTGTGTTTGATGAACTCGGGTGTACACGTGAGTGTGAACGTACCCTTGTGGGCTGCGTGCATCCATTCCTCCTCAAATGCAATTACAGTTGTGTTAATAGGACTGAGACACCCGATGCCCCGCTGCATTATTAGATTAAACAGCAGATTAATTTGTGCTCATGGGTTTGGCCCCCTATCATCTCTGCAGCCTCCACTGACCTTGGCCAGTGTGTTGTAGACAGACAGTAATGAAGCCAGCCAGTCATAACAGCATTAGCATACCTGGAGGTGGACGCATACACATCGGCCCACACGCACAGTCTAGCACACCTCATTATTATTTATTACAGTATTAACCAAGGTGAAGTTTTAGGAGTTCAGATGAGCAAGTTAATAAATCTGATCATATTTAAACATATATTTTTAAAACGCCAGTTTTAAATTCATCTGAAAAATAACTTTTTTATGTTTTGCTTTGCTTTCGTTTTTTTATTTAAATAAATTGTGGGTTTGAGTTGAGTTGAGATATCAGAGATGCGTACAGAACCACATTTCCCATTTTGACCAACTTCATACAGCAAAAGTAACACACTATCGAATTTACACTACTACACACACACACACGTACATTATGCATTTGTATAACCCCCAACCTCTAATGCAATCCAATACAACTGTTCCTCTATACAGTCTACTCTTATAATGCTTAAAACGTTAAAGGGACAGTCGTTCTCTCCCCCCCCCCCCCCCAAAATCAAAAAGGCATCTTACCTTACCGTTTTGGTGTGAGAGGCAAGTTTTTGAGATATTAGCCTTAGAGATGTCTAATTTCTGTCCAATATTACTGAACTGATGATTGGACTATAATTGTCACTCGGCTTGTGGTGCTGAAAGTGCCAAAAAATAACAACTCAACAGCAAAGTCCTTTCAGTCATCTGAAATCTACTGTCCCTTTAAGCTTTATCTGACACTGTCACAGCAGTCTTAATAAAATGATATTGTCGAGCATTGATTTTAGTAGTGCAGTACTACACAAACCATATGTATTACTACCTAAATAATAAACATATGATTGAATTTACACGTATACGACAAAGTCAGTAAAAACATTTCATGAAGATGTTACGACGGAGCTGCAGTATTGAATTGCATTCGATTGTGCAGGTGTACCTAATAAAGTGGCCACTGAGTGTCTTTTTAATACCTCCTCATTGGAGCAATAGACAACTAAAGAAAATGCATTGCAGGAATCAGATAGTTTGGGCACCATTGCGTAGTTCATTTTCCAACTGTACCCCTCGACCCACCCTGAATCTCACCCCTCACACCTGTAACAGCACCCAACAGTGACATCACAGTGTACTGACGCACCTCTTGGTACACTTCTACGTCACTGCAGCGAGGCGAGAATTTAAACCACCTGAAGTCAGCAAAGGCAAGATTCAGGTTACTCTTTAATTAAAGGACAGAAAAACAAAGAATGTTATGTGTTTATGTAAATAGATCCTATAGGGCAATACATTGTTATTGGATTTTCTAGACTCTCAAATCAGTCTCAAAAATCAAGCGGACTACCCCTCATTACACAGAGTAAACATCTTCAGAAAGGCTTCAGCTGAAAGGGTGATAACTGTAAGCCAGATCCAATCAACCACTTAAACTTTCCTCAGAAAATACTTTTTTAACTTCCTGGCATACCATGAATCCCGATGAGGCAGAAATGTTTCAAAGTGCAGACTTTAACCACGTTTATTTTTGCCTGCACACATTGATCTCTTTGTTTCTGTCATCTCAGTCCCCCTCTGTCTCTGTGCCCCCTTCTCTCCGTCCCTCTATAATCTCTGACAGTAATTATCTCGTTTAGCAGTTGATTCCTCCTCTCATTCGCTCCCACTTGGTCCCATCCTGTGTCGATTGAAAATCATATTCTCGCGTTTAGAATCGTTGCATTTCTGATGACTCCGTGGACCCGCATGCGATTCCAGGACCGCAGCGCTCCTCTTGTTCGATTATCACACTCTCCCTCCCACTTGATTTCTCTCTCTCTCTCTCTCTCTCTCTCTCTCTCTCTCTCTCTCTCTCTAATATTCTGATATTGCTATTCAGCTACCACCAGAAAAAAAGGGGAGAAAATCCATTACTTTTATTAAATTCTCTCATATGACACTCATTTCAGATTGATATTCTTTTTTTTTTATACCGACTTCTCACAAATTAGGGTTTGAGGAAATCGATTGAAATTGTATTTTCTTAATCACGTGAGCCGATGGTTGGAAATGGTTGAGTTCGATGCACGTGGTCTGTGGAGTAGCTGTAACGCTGCGACATGTGTGCCCCTCTAGTGGAGCCGCGCGTCTCCTCTGTGATGGGCAACGCCGCTCAATATGTGTAGCCAGGCGGCGTTTGATAAATCATCGTCTTGTTAGCGGCTAAAAGGGAACAATCGAGATTCCCGCGCGCTGAGAGAGTAAAGCCCTGCTAATCGAAAACAGGCTCTCCTTCCTGGTCGGGAATCAAACATTACGCACGACATCAAAACAAAAACACGCGGCTGATGTGGTCTGTTGTGTTGCCGTACCGCTGTCAACATTTCCTTTTTTTAAATTTTATGGTGGGTGTTGAGATTGAAGCTCAAAGCCGGCTCTAAGCTCTTGACATTAATAATCGTTTTATTGATGAGGCTTGTCACATCACAAGGCCGTCGTCTGGGATACAAACCATCTCGAGGTGGGTGTCCCAGAGCTTTTCGGGGATTCCTCGCTCCCCCTCAGCAGCTAGCTTGAGGACCTGTATGAGATGAGTCCCTCTACTAATTCAGTTTCAGGGGGTTTCCCAGCCTCAGACATTGAAAGCGCTATAGATGTGCGTATCTTTGTGTGGATAACATGCTGTATTTTGTGTGCTCTCCCTCTGCTTCTCAAGCCGCCTCGGCCACACCAGCAGAGTCATTATCCTTCTCTCTGAGCGGTGTCGTTACCTGTTCACGTCTACTTCTCTGTCCAGTCTCGTTCTGCTTTTGGTCAGTGTCGCTCTGCATTTCTCTCTCTTTTACTCTTGTGGTTCCTGTGTTTCTCTCTCACACACGCGCGCGCGCTCTCCCACCGTCCTTCCATCTTCCCGTCAAGCGGCGCTCTTTTCTTCTGGTAGTGATTAAGTCCAAGGTCGGCTCTATCAGAGAGCCAGTGTTTGAGAGCAGCGCTGGGTGCCAGAGAGCCTTCATTCCCCGAGCCTTAGATGTCCCACTGATGGCTTCCCTTTGCTCGTCATGCCTACCCACAATGCCCCTCCTCATACATCAGCCTATCACTGCCCTGTGGGCCTCAAAATGCCTTTGTGTGTGTGTGTGTGTGTGTGTGTGTGTGAGAAATGTCTCACCCTCGGGACAGAGAGAGAGTGAGGAGAGGCCAACGACATAACAAATGGAGAGACTGTTGAAGAATGTGTCAGAGATGAAACGAGGTATATTTGGAGACGGTAATAGCTGTGTGTTGTCTCTCTGATGTGCAGAACTTGGAGGTTTCTGGACTTAATTTGGGGTCTTGTAGATTAATTCAGCCGTGCCGCTCCAGTGCTTTTGTTGTTCTTCCCCAGGAAAAAAGAAATGCTCTCCAAATTTGACAGAATTGGACCACGGGGCAATACCTCATTCTCTGTGTGTGTTTATGAGCAAATAAAACAGTCTGGATTTTGACAGGGAAGCTATTTAATTTCATAACCAGAGTCATATGTTCTGTCCATCCCGGTGGCTCAGTGGAGCCGCATGTACTCGCTACATCCTGAGTTCCGATTTGTCTTGCCATCCTAATTTTTTTTAAACGGTGAGAAAAAAAAAAAAAGATATATATATATATATATATATATATATATATATATATGTATATGTAATTGCCATGACCACATGACCAAAGGTTTAGAAAGAGGTTTTAAAGTGGTTCAACACAAACAAAGGTGAAGATACAGGTCTGTCACCTTCCCACCCTCCACTCCACCACTCCCTCCCCATGTAGGATGAGTGGTGTCTGGCTTTGCTGCAGTCTGCCGGCCCCTTATCTCCCCCCCTCTGACTGGAGCACAGAAAATACATAATCACAGTGCCCTGTGTCAAACTGATAACCCCCAACACGAACCAGGGAAGTACGTACGTGTGTGTGTGTGTGTGTGTGTTTACGTCTATGTGTACCTTTTTGCGATGTACAAACGTGTGTGTGTGACTGTGTACTTGCACGTGTGTGTTGTGTCTCAGGGGGCGGTGGAGAGGATAAAGGGGAAATGAAGGAGCAGAGGGGATTTGGAGGAAGAAAGGTAATGGGGTTGTGGGGGTCGCAGAATGAGTC